AAAACACCTTCACGCCACATTTTTCGAAGTTTACTACGAATATCAAGCATCATATCTTGTAATTATCTTTGGATAATTCGATATATAGTTGAATAACAAGAACCTTCTCTTTGAAAAAATTCCATGTGGTTCTCAAGTCACCACATGCAGCATTATGATAAAAATTTATGACTCGTAATCTAAGTGTTTCTCGTTCGTCCTTCTTCATTTCGAACAGAAACACATATGACAATTGAACCAATATAGGTACATATACTATGAATCATTCTCGGTCTAATAGAAAAGATTGAACAGTCTACGATACTCCCACGTGGTATAGAAAGAAAACGGAAATCAATGAACAATGATTGTCACATCCATTTATGATAGAAATTTTTTTTTAAATTCAAAAAAGTTGCGAAACAGTTTTTCGAGGTCTGTAGTTCTAAGACATCTGTCGCCTTCAAAAAACGTTTCCAATCAAACTCTTTTATATAGTTTTGTAGTAGACACTTTGTTCTTTCTAACAAAAAAAAAATCAAGTGTCTACGACATTCCGTTGCAGAGTTATATTAAAAACAAAATTAATGCAAAACTTTTGCCCTACCCGTTATCAGTATAAGTTTGTATTCATATTTGTTTTTGTATTTAGATTATTCATAATGATACATCGAACAGTAAGTAATTATTTATTTAAATAATTTTTTTTATTTTTAGATTGATTAGAACGACAAATCAAAATATAAGAGTAGTGTTAATTAGTTGGATGCTTAACCTGGACAATCATTTCAGTTTAATATATAATCGGAGTTTTATGAGAATAAATGAAATGAAAGACCAAACTATATTGGGCGTCCAGAATATTAGTTTTTGCGTTATTTGGAGAGCAGAAGCGAGAGTATGAAAAATCTTATACAGAATACGATAACAAACGGCATTGACTATGACTATTTACGATTGTTTACTGTGATCGTATACATGTCGTATTTCGTCGTACACGACACGACGATGTATGGTTGTAAGTCTGGCGTCAAGTAATACGGCGAAATACGATCGTATACGATCGTAATATACACCACCATAAACGACCGTACACGACCGCATACGACATCATTTACGACTGTCGTAATGCTCGTCCTGGGTAGTTCAAAATAAAATTTTCGTAGCCCAAGCTAGAATTCCAAAAGTTTTATTTTAAGCTACCAAAAATCTGGGCATGCCATTTGAGATAGCTCGTCGAGTTGTCGTTGAAACAACCATTGGAATGCTTGGAACAGGTCGTTGGGCGAATCAGTGGGGAAAATACGCGAATCAGGTGCTAACTTCACTTAAGTAAAGCAGATCAATAAAATCCGATTTTGATATTTTCGATTGTTTAACGAAATAGTTTATAGCATTAGTAATAATTGCTAATGGTTCTTCCTCTATTTGAGCACCAGATTTTATTTCCCATAGAAAATATCTATTATAAGACTTTTGAAAATCATATGATTTTGAAGTTGAACTTGTTTTTTCTTCGTTTTTTTCAAACTCCTTTGTCACTTGTTCTATAAACGGGAAAAGGTAAATGCGCAAATTGTATTTTCAGTATTTTCACACCGGGTTATTTTCTGCAAACACATATTTCAAAAATTTTTTAAAAATAAAAAATTCTATTACTTCAAATTAATAATTTCTTCACGTAATTTCTTTTATTCAATACTTTGACGATTTTGTTTTTCTTCTATATATGTTTATTTTCATCTCTTACGTTCAATAATTCTTTCTTCATTTGATTGATGTCATCCCATGTGATAAAAACCGGCGATTTACCGCGGTTTTACCAGTTCGGTTACTGGCTCCCATTACTGCATTTAACCGCGATTTACCGCTATAAATGATCCGATTTTTGCGACATGGAATTCTAGAAGATAAGACAGGAATAAAAATAAATTAATAATACTACGACAATTATGTGTTGATAGTCGAGAATAGCAAGAATCAAGATCACGAAGAATAAGATTTAGTGTTTCTTTCTGTATGTCGTTCAGCTCAATTGAGAGAAGTAAATTTTTATTTCGTTTAGTGCCTTTGTCATATCATTTAATAAAAAAATTGCCATCGCTGAAATCTTCTGTAATTTTTCCGCAATAACGTTCGATGAGTTTTGAACAAGTTGAAGGAGGATGGTATGAATTTCTAAAAATATGAAGTAAATAATAAATTAAACCAAGAAATTTTTTAATATAAATTGTTTCATTTTCTTCTATCAATGTTAAACTAATTTGTTCAGCTTTTCTAAAATCTCCAATTAATTCATAATACATCGTACTTAATATTATTAAAAGAGAACTTGTTTTTTAAAATTATTTTTCTAATTGTTCAAGGCATTGATGAGCAATTGATTCTTTTGAACAATGTAAAGCTGATTTGAATATTATTCAAGTATTAACTATTTTTCATCCTCTGATGTTGATAAATCAAATTCAGATAAAATGTTTGTCTATAACTCAATTATTTCACTATCTAAATAACAGCCTTTTATCACGGTATTGACGAATTTTTTCAATAACTGATTCCATTTTGTTTTCTAATGATGATGTTAGATTATTTTAGAACAAAACAAAATATATAAATGACGGAGAAAATGTGAGATGGATCAGCCCTTCCTTTATCCATTAATACTTCAAATTTTGATAGGTTACCAACTAAAGCCAATATGATTAAGATTTAGATTGGAAGTCGATAGACAAAGTCATCTATTTATCTTTCGATCTTCCATAAAACAAAACCGTGTAATAATCTTTTAATATTTCTATCTGTACATCAACAAACAAATGAATAAATGTTTATTTCACGAAAAATCTGGCTTATCTATTCCCCATTAAGTTTAGAATCTTCAAATATTTCCGCAGTTTTCAGAACTAGAAAGCAAACTGATCGTTCTAAATTATTCCATTAACTAGTTCTTTGGGAACGAGTCATCAAAAATCAGAGTCTCTCAACACTTCAGGATATTTGAGGTGTTTAAAAAAACTGAAATTCATCATGATCATTTTTTTACTATGACTTTAAACATATTTATATAATGGCTCTAATTGTAGGTAATAAATAAAGTTGTTTAATTTATGAAACTATGTGAAGCACCCAACAAACAAAGTCGTTCAATGAAACCACGAAAAAAAATTTAATAAACTCTGAAAAACAAAATTTCGAAGAAGTTTTTAATGATCAAAGTTCAACCGAGCGATCGAAACTATTTTTTCTTGAGGTTTACTCTAACTGAGCACTCCATATTTCGATGCGCTGTAAGTGATCGAAATTATCTTTCGAATGAGTCTTCTTTCGTTGATGAGTCAAACTTTTTATGGACTGCAAGCAGTCGAAATGTGTACGAGGGATAGAACATGACCGTGCGATAGAACAATATTTTCGATCACTCGATATTTCTATGTGCGTTGACTGATTGCAAATATATCGAGTAATCGAAAGTACCGTTCCGATAGGTTTTCTCTCTTCGAGTAATCGAGGTTACGATAGAGTTTGAGTGGTCGAAGTGTGCAGGTGGGCTCGAAAATTAGTGTTCGATAGGACAATTTGTCTGATGGCACGCTATTCGGTGGTCGCCGAGGAGCTCAAAATCCAAATAGAACGGGAAAAAAATTTTTTTCAAGCTTCGACCACTCGTCACATCCATCGTTGACTTTTCAAGATTTTCTTCGGATCGATGAATCAACAAAAAATCTTTGTATCATTATTATTTAAAAGATGAGAATGAGGGTGTGAGTGTGGAATGTATGTCAACAAATGTCTTTTCGACACAAAAAGTTATCTCCACACCCACACCAACAGCCCAGCTCAGAAGAATGTTTTACACAACAAAAACAAATAAATAAAAGCAGCTAAAAAGCAAATTACGGAACTCTATGATATAAAATATCGTAAAAGATTCCGTGAACAAGCTCAACAGCATCATAATCACTTGTCGAATAAACTTTAGAAATGAAGCAAAGTGTTCATCTGATGTTCAGTAGAAGATTCATAAAAGGTTAGAGGACAATCAAGCTAAACAAAAAAGAATCGGATTCAACTTTGATTGAAATTCACCGTTCTCAATTTCCTCACATTCTCTATTTTCGAAATATCACGATAAAGCAGTGTGGATGTGAGTGTTGGTATGAGTTTTAATATATAAGATACTCTCCACACACACACACACACACACAAAGCGCAGATAACCATGAAAAGTCTGGTTTCGGAGGTAGAAATCCCTACTTTTTGTCCAATGATCCCCTTCGAAAATATCACCATTCCATACAGAATCAAATTCTGCATTTAGCATGACTAGTTAGAAGTGTAGCATAGATATAAGAACGAACGTCAGCAAGAATTATTCGAATGCGCTGCTTATTTCTCTTACATGATAAAATGGCATTTGTTTCATTGTTCATATTATTGCATGTGTTTGATCAATATTCAATCGGGAATGAAATAAGACATAAGGAAGACTATAAAACTTTATATGTTTGTTGTACTACAAAAACATAAACTACGTGTTTTGCTAAAAGTCATAACGAATAGAAGGCTTCTTCAGCCGTTCTTATGCCTTAATATTATATATTTATGAGTATTAATTCATTAAAAAATTATTTTTTATATTGTGTATAAATAGGATATGCTTTTATTCTGAATGAGACAATATACAGTACTATTATCTGATTAAAATGTATGTCTTATTTTAAATATTTGAACAAATTTCTCAAAAGCATCAAGTGAACATTTGCTTTTCATTTTGGTGACCCTTGATATTATTGAACTTGATGCTACGCTAATTGAACTACTTCTATCTCTATCATCAGAGCAAACTTCTTCGCCATCATTAGGCGATAAGTCTTCTCCAATTGCAATTATCATAAAAAATAATTTTTTTATATGTGCCATATCAATACGATTCTCTATTGTTTGATCAGGCGATTCATCGTACAGTTTTGAATATTCTAATTTGATTTCACATAAACCTTTGCCTTCATGACCAATAATAGTTCTCACTAAAGCTATATAATCAATTGGTTTCTTATCTAACGCTTGTCGTAGTATTTTAGCTTGGTAACCAAATGGTGATCGCGTATATTCAACTATGTCTTGAAAACATTCGGCTTCAATTTTACTTTGACATTGGTTTTCAATTGCTACTTCTATTGGACGCCTGTATTTATCTTCATACATATCAAATATAGCTGATAGTTGTGGAAAAGCATCACGTGTAAAAATTTTTACAAATGTATCATAATCGATATTAGGTGTACCTTTTTCAGCAGTTTCAGCTAATTTTTTAGCGATCAGTTTTGCTGTTGATACTGAATAACCAGGTTCTTCGTTACGTTGTCCTTCAAGTAATTGCATAAGTAATTTTGACATAATAGTTTTTTCATCCTCAATAAGTTCGATATCTGTTTCAATACAGTTTTCAAATAGACTTTTATATGTCTCTTTGAATTTTTGTGTATCGTCATTGTCTAATGCTAATAAGATTTGTACTAACTTTCTTGATATGTTAAAATTACTTTTATCATTTGATTTTAATATAAGTAAATCATGAAAATCACGTACATATAATTCAATGGATTCAATTTACATGGCTAATGTACATGAACGTATGAGAGATTCAGGTTGTTCAAGGACCATATCAAGAAGTTTATAACCATATTCAAATTCAAGATTATGAACAAGTACTATCCGTTGTGCACAATTATATGATGATAAAAAACAAAGAATAGAATTGAAATCTAACTTATGTGTCGTGACAGATCGTTTCAACATTTTCCATAGATGTTTTGTATAACGTTTATAATCAAATTCCGTTGGATGACGAAGTGAAGGAGCACTCAATCGTTGCTAGAAAAAGTTATCTTTAGAAATATTTATTCGTCACAAACAAATTGTCTCTAATTTATAAAAGAAATACTTAACAAGACTTACTATCAAACGTTTCTCTGATTTCTCCGCATTACTCTTATATTTTGTCTTCATATTTTACTATTGATATTTTAATAGCAATGATTCAACAGTGAACGAGAATTATGATAAAAATAAAAATTTTGCTCTCGATTATTACATTATAAATATATATATATATATATTCGAAGAAGGGAAAGAGAAGGAACGCGAATGACTCAGGAGGAAATTTAAAAAATTGTCATTGGTTCTGGTTGAGTAATTTATCCTTGGATAAAGATACGAAAAATGTACATGTGCGCTATTGTAATGAGAGAGAGAGAGAGAGAGATACGCCCATGTTTATTTTGAATGTAAATTACGTTTTTTTTTCTTCTCTTGAACCGAAATAATAATCGTATTCTTCTGAGATATGGACATAATATACTAGCAAAATATCGAGAAAAATTATTACACAAACGTACATAAAATGAAATATACTGAAACATACAATGAATATATCTGATGAAGCTTAAAAAGTTGTCCGAAAACCACGTGATGAGATTAAAAATAAGAGAATCCAGCTAACTACTAATATCTTGTAAACCATTAGAAATATAAGTTGTACGAAGTGTTGAAAGCTCTAATTTGTATCAAAATGACCTCAGGAGTTTATCCAGGTTGAAATGAATAACTGACCCTGAACTTACTTTTAGCTAGTTTTTATATATCAAATGTATGTTGAGTTACTCTAGATAATCTGAAAAATTTTGCTCCCAGACTTGTGTTCCGTCGATTTACTATTGAAAAACTAGCGGTAGCGCCGTGACACAAGAAAAGGACAAACGTTTTTATTGCATGCATTTTCATTTCCAAATGCTATAAGTTCAAGAAGTAGTTTTGAAAACTGTAAAGAACATTTCAGAATATGGATGTGTGTGAATAGAAGACCGACACTACGCTCACATTTGATTACAACATGTATCTGAGGGCTCGAAGTCGTGACAGACAGGAGAAAAAAGGAATTTTTCAAGTTTTAACCATTCGTCGCATACATCGTTAGCTTTTTAGGACTGTCTGAAAAGATATTTGTTTAATGAGTTCAAAAGCTCATTACTCAAAATTTAAACGTATTTTAGACCTTTATTGTATGACAATTGAACATGATTTATTACGATTATTATTTGAAGTTCATTCATATAATGAATTACATCAAGGATATATATATTTCATTTTCACTCTCCATCATTATTAGAGATGTTTATTGGAGTACTCATAGGGATGAAATTTGCGGGGAACCCATAGGATACCGTCCCAAAAGGGGATCGGATGAGTTGTCGCCCAATCACCTTTTCTCAAACTGTTCAAATTTTGCTCATTCAATTTCTTATTTATGGTCTGAATCATAGGGCAGTCATTTTCTTATCACCATGGTCTGAATGAAATTTTAAAATACAGAGAAAGGTCTGAAACGATAGATAACAAAATTCTTTTCTGTTACTTTTCTTTAGTCTTCCAGTAGTAAAACACAAAAGATATTCCATTCGTTCCTTTCTCTGTAGTTTTGAGAGACGCAATTTAAAAGGAGTGTTGAAGTATATGGGTCGAAAATTAGATCCTCCCAGGTGTCAGTGTGTATGCGAGTACCTAAAGAAAGAATCCACACTCACGCCCACACCTCTTGAATTTTCTGAGGTTTCAGCATAATTTTTGGTAACTTACTTTTTTCGAAATTTTTTGTTTTGGTATAAATAAAATTAGGTCTCCACCATAAATATAATCAAGTAAAACATTCACTTGGTACTGTTCGTGCTAGATGATTCATTTGGTGTCTTTACGTTGCTATTAATACATTAGATTTGAATTTTCTGAAACAAAAAATTCATTTTAGAAAACATTCCATTAAATGAATAATAAGTAAATAATGCTTTGGTAATATTCGTACTTTGCTCTTGCGTGACAGTAAAGTTTTTCAAGATATTTATTTTGGGAGAATATTCTTAAATATTTTAATTCATTAGTTTTACATAATCAGCAACAAATATGATNAAGAGGTATATAGATATATAGGTATAGGAGATATAGGAGATATAGGAAACAGAGTAAACATTTATTTTTTTCGTATAATTGATTTTTTCGAGCAAGGATCGATAAATTGAATGAATATATCTGACTGAATCACTATTCAAAGTCAAGCACTGTATAAAGATTATCTGCACTACTTAATTAATATCTGCTATACCTCCTATACCCCTATACCTATATATCTATATACCTCTTACCCTAGGACATAATCGAGTTTCCGGGGATATTCTCCGAAGACATGTAATCACAAAATACGATGTTGGTAAACTTTTTTCATACATCTTAGATTATCATTATGTGAGTTACAGATAGGGAGCTATGTTTTAGGAAGTTACCGTAAACCAATATTACAATATGGAAGATGAGATTTTAGTGGTATGAACACATTTCGACTACTGTATATTTGAAGTGTAGTTTTTATTCTATGAAATTCTTAAAATATTTTTCGTTCATAACAATTTAATCATTGTTGCATGAATATTTTCTTCGGAAAACATTTTTGCTTGTTAATAATGATAAACAACTTATGGATGTGGATGAAGAGAAGGCCTACAACTATGCACACTCACACCCTAACATGAACAATTCTTGGAGATAAGAGTCGAATAATTTTGTAATGGATTTCAAAACGTATGTGCTATCGAATTCAAATCGAGAAAGTTATAGAAACTTTTGAGGCATTCCGACATAGTCCACTACCAATTCCCAATCTTACGATAGACGTACATGAGATCTGCAAGAATTTTTCTGGTATGAGATGTTTTCAAAATCAAGTTAAATCGTTATTCATCAATGAATGAAAGTATAAAAAAGGGGATGTCTGTATTTCAATCGGAAGGAAAGTCTTGCTACTAGAAGTGTGGATGAGGATTTCACACCCACACCCTCAACTACTGATGAAGATGTAACTTGATTATAGAATTGAATATGAGATTAATAATCGATCATCTATACAAGACCATCTTCGCATATTTGACCGATACTCAAAAATAGCCTTTGAACTTATAATCGAAACGAAAATTTTGTTGAAATTTTTGAATTAACCAAGAGTCAAGATTTCCATGAGAAATAAAATCGATTTTTTTGAATGCAATACTTCAGAGAAAGTTATTCTTTTTTTTCTCTATTTTTATGCCACACAAATCATGGATTCAACTGCAATGATTAAGACCTTTGCGTCGTGTTTCTTGTGAAGAATGAGAAAAATTACTCAGTTCGTTTTTCTCTAACTTGCGTTTCTTTTTGCATTTTTCTATTTTCAATCAACGTTGTACGCGAAACATTAAGATGAAGGAACAAGCAAAAAAAAGTATCGCAATGTACAAAGGCATAGTTCTTTCGATGCATTACACTTCAGTCGCTCAATCAAAGAATAATAAGCGAATGAAAGTAACGAAATTCTATTTAAAGAAAAAACTCATGAGCAATACTGCAAAGTTTTCTCCTTGAATCCAGGATTCAGGTAGATGACCTCCAATCTTAGAAATGTTTCTTTATGATTGAAGCTGCTTTTGGAAACGGTTGTTGGTATTCAGTTGCCGTTGAATGATGAAGATTTGTTTATTAATTTTGGTTCAAAAGTCAAACAAACTTCCTTCTTCATTTATCTCTAATGCAATTGACCTTGAACTAATCAACTATTTCATTAACTTTTGACCTTGCAGCGAGTGATGACTAACTACTTATGTATAGGAACAAACAGTGTCCAAAATTCGAAGTTGAATCATACTGATTTTAGAATAAACGTTTGCCAAAGAACCATGTCTTTTAATAGCAAATCTAATCATTTGAAGGAACATGTTTCCAAAAGGCAACAACTTTTGCCTATTGATTCATAAGCACTGTGACAAACTCTTTAGGTGAATTCTATGAGTTCAATTATCAACCGTGCTCATACACGTAATTACTTATGTGAAAGTCTTATCTTGCCCCTTGTCCGAAATGTCTCTATACGCCCTACTCTATCATGTTCACCAAAGAACTTCCAATGTCAATATCATCAAGATGGGATAAATCGAATAAAGTAGAAGAGTCTTAGCTATGACTGTGACGACAATGAATACTTGTTGGTTGATAATTTCATGTTTTGAGGTCGTAAGTGATGGACAAACTTAGCTTTGCTCGTGGCATCTTGCACTTGAAAACAACAGACAAAAAATGCAGCGAGACGATAATATCTTGCTCCGAAATATTAGAGAGTGTGAGTGAGGCATATAGGTATGAGAGAGCAGAGTACGAAGATGCTCATCTGCAACACTTGCACCCACACCCTTTTTGCATTCATTTAAACCATCGACTTTAGCTATGGATAGTATATAATCCATTCTAATCGTATTAAAAGAAAGTGCCTTTGGTCTAAATAAACAGAGGATGTGGATGTCTTTGTATTTTGTTCTCTCATAAACATAGCCACACCGTCACTATTAAAAATTCAAAAAAGTCACAATTTGAAGAAATCTATGTTTAACATGTAATCAACAAAGTTTTTTCCATATCAATTTCATTCGATCAGATAAATTTCGATTTCGTACATCATCTCATCAGCACATACCAAATGGTACGACTAGCAATCTCTTTGATCAATTATTGCAGAAAAAAAAGCGAACATTTTTATACTGATAAAAATACTTGATGTCATGTGGAATTTTGATAAAGTTAAACGAACAAAAACTTATGAAAAATGATTGATTCCATACAGTTGACAAATCGTTATGTTAGAATTAGACTGTTTCCTTTTAATTAGCAAAACGACGCAAAAGCAGCTGTCATTTCAGAAGATGGAAAGCTAATTTCTTTTTTTTTAGAAAGACCATGACAAGTGCTACAGAAGAAATCTATATTTTGAGAATTGAATATATATTTGCCTTTTTTTAATTCTTCAAACCCAATAATCAACATTTTTTTTGCTTTTATTAATACATTATTTTAATTCGTCACAAATATGTGAATGAAGATCTTTTGTATGCCATTCGTAAGAAAATTATTTTCAATAATATGTTATATTAGATTTC